CCCCCCTCCCCCCCATGGGAGAATCGGCAAAGAGCTGGAAAGCTTCTCCTTTTCCTGACTCTATCCTTTCTCCTTTCCTCTGGGCGGCTTTTTAGGGGACAGTGCTGGGACAGTCTAGGCTCTCTCTGGGGCCCTGCCCCCCGCCCCGGGTCTGGGTGGCTAGCGCCCAGCCGTGGTTTCCTGCAGGGCTGTTGTTTGCACCCTCTCTTCTTCCCTTCTCTGCCCACAGCCCGGTGAGTGGGGAGGGGCTGGGGGGTCATGTGCAGTGTATTTATGTAATTTATGTAAGACACCCAGACGGAGGGCGCGGGTATTTATATAACCTGGCGTGGGTATTTATGTAATATAGGATGCGGGTATATTTATGTTTCTCTCCTAACCTGCGGCTTTCCTGGCTGCCATGTGTGGTCTCTGAATTGGCGTTGGCAGAAAACGGACTGGGGGGGCAGTGTTTGTGTATGTACACACCCGTGACCCCCCCCCCCAGTCCCCTCCCCCTCTGTGCGGCTCACGGTGTGCGTCTGCTTTTCTTTCTTCCTTTGGTGGGTACACACAGGTCGGTGTGTATGTGAAATGTGAGTTTTCTGCAAATGTGGAGAGTGTTCCCGCTGGCAGCCGCGGCACCTCAGCCGGGACTGGCCAGGCGTGTGGGCAGAGGCCCTTGGTTGAGAGCCCAGAGTTTGGCTGGCATGGGGTGGAGGCTACTTCCTTGTGGCCACCGGGGGCAGGGCCAGTGGCGGCTCCCTGGGAGTTAGGTGCCAGGGCTGGATGTGTGTCCTGGGCAGGAGCTGTTGGCTTCTGGCCTCTGCGGGGCCAGAGAGCTCCAGCCTGGCCATCTGTGAACTAGATCTCGCCCATCTCCCCTCCCAGGTGGGTCTGGCTTTGGGGATAGCGTTTGGCATAGGAAAGAGGCAGGGCTGCTGTGCCTGTCACAGCTGCTTTTCCGTCTTCCTGCTTTGCTTCCCAGGCCTGGCAGGAAATCAGTCCTGATTGTGTCAGGTGGGGCAGCGGGAACCCCGTCTGGGTCCGAGGTGAGGAGACTGCCACCAAGTTGCTGCTGGGGAGTGTGGGGCAGGTGATGTGGCCTCCCTAGTTCCCTGTCTGCAAAGGGAGACCCCCCCCCATATGAACACTCTGAGACGTTAGGGATCCCCCGTCTTTCTCCCCATTTGATAGTTCACCATCCCCACTCCCCTAACTGTAGAAACCATCTCCTGGCCTTTGAGTTTCTTCTTCTGCAGGCCAGGATCCTGGAGGGCACAGGGATCCCCACCAGGGTGGCCCCTGATGTCTCATGGGCTTGGGCACAGGATGGGGCACAGGACGGAGGGGAACTGCTCACATCAGCATCCTTCCCTCAGACCTCTCCTCCCACCCCAGAGGCCAGTGGCTAAAAACCTGGCTTTGGTTGCCTCAGTTGCTCTGTGGGGCCCTCTGGGGAGACCCTCCTTCTAGTCTTGAAGGAAGCCAACCCCAAACTGTCCATCCCCAAAAATACGTGCAGCGAGACCTGTGTGAGGTGCTTGGTGTTGTGGGAGAGGGAGGTGACTGGGTGTTCTGGCGGCCCCCTTTCCTGGCTGCCCCCTAAGTTGGGGAGGAGGCCCCTCTCCAGCAGGGCACACTGCACACTGGCAAGTTCTGGCCTCTGGAAAGACCAGGCCAGGCCGTGGAGGCCTCGTGTCCGGTTCCTGGCACTAGAAGCAGAGAAGGTTAGGGGTGGGGGCCGGGGTTAGGGTTCACCTTGTCCTTCCGTCCCTGGAGGTTGGAACCTGCCGGTGGTTGCCATGGTAGCACCCCCAGAACGAGCAGCTCCTGTGTCCCCCCTCCCCCATCACCCCCTTTGTCTTTGATTTTCCTTTCAGGGTCTTGGCCCTTTGTGACTGGCCCGCACCTGAGAGGCTCTTATTGGAGGGTCCCCAGATGCGTGTCCCCCGAGGAGATGCTTGCTTGGCTCTTTCCTCCCGGGCCTTATCTCCAATTCCGCCTTCTGCCTGGCCACCCTGACATGTGTTCTCAGCCCGCCTCCGCTATTGCTCACACGTGGAGGCCATCAGGCCACCTGACACCTGGATGCCCTCGGGCAAAGCCAGGCCAACTCTCTTCCTGTACAGTGGGAGGGAGAATGTTGGTCTCCCGAGTTCCTTGGGTCTTTCCCTGGCCTTTGGTGGGGGATGTGGTGGGGTCTAGCGGCCTAGGCTCCCTTCCCGGCTCCCCGCTTCCCTGACCCGTGTGTCTCTGCTTCCCTCTGCAGCGAGAGTGAGTCATGGAGCTGCGTGTGGGAAACAAGTACCGCCTGGGACGGAAGATCGGGAGTGGGTCCTTTGGAGACATCTACCTGGGTAAGTGTCTCTGGTTCCGGCCTAGTGGTTTTGGGGCCCTGGGGACAGCGCCGGGGACAAGCAGGAGGGAATGTGGCAGGTCTTCAGGCTCTGAAGCCAGAACTTGGCTTCAGGCCTCCCGTGGCATGTTTGGGCCATTTTGTCCCCAGGGCCATCCCAGGTAAGGAGGGAAGCAGCAGGTTGTGGGGGAGGCAGGCCAGGGGGCTCCTCACGCAGTCAGGGTGGGGTGGGGTGCCCACCTGCTGCAGGCTGGGCAGAAGAGGGTATTTTTAGCCCTGGTTTCCAGCTGCAGGTGACCTGGGTCTCCAGCTGGGCGTGGGAAAGGCCAGGCTGGGATAGCACCCCGTTTGTTGCCTCCTGGGAGAAGGATGCTAATAGGCAGAGGAGGCCTGGGCCCCCTCCCTCTGCTTGGGGGGCCCCCTGGAATTCAGCCCAGGCGGGCTTCGGAATGACAATGACGCAGGCTCTCCCAGTAACCTCTGGGTGGGGGTGGGGGGTAGGGGTCTGGCCATAGCGTTCTGGATCTTTCTCTCCGGATGTGCTTCCTGTTGAAAGTCTGAGTTTGTTCCCGTGTTGTCATTTGAAACGAATCGCTCACCCCGTTCCCTGACCTGGCAGAAAAGGGTCTGGAGGGGAGATACTGTGTGGGTAACCTTGAATGGGAGTTGTTAGAGCAGGGTGGCCAGCCCCTGGGGTTTATCCTCATTCCTGTCCCTCTTTTCCTCCTTGGAAAAGCAAGGTAAATAATTTCTGTCCCGGGCAGAGAAAAGAAAGCATCAAGGCAGTGTGCTGTGCTCATTGGTTCTGAACTTGGGGAGGAGGGGGTTTCTGTCACCCAGTGGTCTGGGTCTCTGCCCTCTTGGGGTACGGACTCCTTCTTGGTGAGCTGCTGCCTCCCGCATCGGAGGGGACAGGGAGGGGACGTTCTCTGAGCGTGTAGTTGGTTCTGGGCAGGGTCCTAGTTGAATATGGTCGCCCCGCACAGCAGCAGCCTCTAGAGCCGTGCTGTCCCTTCCACACACATCAAGAAGCAGGTGCAGTACCATCAAATTGGCCACCCAGGGTTTCTCTTGAACACTAGAAAAGGCAGTCTTTATACCCCACATGAGCGAGAGGGTGTGACAGAACATGAGGGGAAGACGTCAGACAGACCCGAGTTCCAGACCTGGCTTTGTGCAGCTGCAGGAAAGTCGTGTGGCTGCTCTGTGCCTCAGTGTCCCCATACGGGAAGTTTGTGTGATGTTGAGGCCTGGCTGACCAAGAGCAAAAGGCACGGGGAGTAGTTTTTGGCACACGTGCACATCTGCTTCTAGGAAGCATCCAATCCAGGGCCTTCTCTTTGCAGAAGGGAACGGAATGGGGAGAGGCAGGCCAAGGTCATTTCAGAAAGCTAGTGTCCCTGGTCCATGTGGTGGGACCTCCCTGGGGGCAGAACTTCCTGTTTATCTAGTTTATTTTAAAAACCAGACCCAGGTTTGCTTCTCTTTGGACAGGCCCTGATGTAAATTCTACCAGGGTGCTTCTCGTATGCCCTTGAACAGGTGATGACCTCTGCCAGCCTTGGCTCCCCTGTCAGTAAAACGGGGTCGGTCATGAGGCCCGCAGGGTGGTGAGAAGTCACGAGATCAGAGCGTGCACAACGCCCGCACGTGTCGGCCCAGCGGTAGTGTTTTTATGTTGCCCCCCCCTCCCCCCACCAGCCCTCCGTCTTTTTTGGGATTTGCTACTGTCCAAAGGATTTGGGTCCCCTTCGGCCTGAGTGGAGGTGGGGAGCCCGTTCTGCCCTGAGCAGCTGCCCTGTCCAGCCTTTGCTGGGTGCTCAGGCCGAGGGGGTCCTGGCATGACGCCGCGTCCTGCTCATTCCTGGGCTCCTGCTAGTGTGGGGACAGTGGCGATTGTAGGGCCTCCCCGGCTGGCCTCGCTGGCTCCCTTTGTTCAGAGCTCTGGCTGCATTCTTGTCGCTGGTGCCTGTGCCAGGGCCTGACTCCAGATGGCCTCTGCAGGTGGGGTTGGGTGCGGCCTCCAGGTCCTGCTTTCCAGGATCACCCGAAGGCGAGTGCTTTGTGGATATGGCTTCGAGGCCTGCAGCTTCTCTTCCGGTCCCGCCTCCAAGTATCATAAGGGGACAACCAGGAGAGTGGGACCAGCTTTGTCAGGGCCTCAGGTCAGCTACACGGGGTCCAGAAGTGGCCGAGACTGTGCCCACTCTACCACCACTGGTTGTGCGCCCTTGAGAACTCCCTATGCCTCTTAGTCTCTGCTCCTCGGTTCTCAATGGCGAGGGGACGGTGCTCCCCAACAGGTGGTTGTGGGGGTGCTTTCTTCTGCACTTCCAGTCCAGCCAGGTCCCTGATTATACATGTGAGTCTGTGCTGGGGAGAATGAGCCCCCACGTGAGGTTGGTCACCCCCTCTCCCCACCCAGGACTTCCCCAGGCCCCAGATCCTAGGGCTGGCCGGCTCCAAGCCCTTCTCCGTGTCCCAAGTTTGTTTTCCAGACTGGCCCATCCCCCAGCAGGGCCCCTGTATCCAACTGCTGGGTCACCTCCACCACCCCTGCTCTGGCACTCTTCACTTAGAATTGCCTCCACAGAAGGTGAGCGGTGTTCATCCAGGGCAGGGCTGCCTCAGTAGTCCAGGGTTCACTGTGTATGTGTCTGTCGATTGAACGACTGAGCTGCTAGACAGTTGGAGTAGAGGAAAAAAAAAAAGTCTTTGGGGACTAACATTTAAATCCTGGCTCTGCCCCCAGCTAGACCTATGACCTCGGGCCAGTTACGTCACCTTACTGAGCCTCAGTAGCAGAACGAAGGGAGCTCAGAGACAAGGCTTGCAGCTTCCTGATAGAACCCAGAGGCAGCAAAAGGGGCCTTGTGGTGGTGGGAGCCTTTGGGGGCAGGCAGCTGTGGTGGCTTTCCAGCACTCTGCAGGGACACGAAGCCTTGGCCTAGGAGCGAGGTCCGTGTCCTGGGGAAGCGAGCGTGGCATTTAGTCTTTGACCTTTGGTGTTTTAGTTTCTGTGGATGTCAAGGAGAGATACAAACAGTAGTCCTTGCGGGAGTGCAGGAGAGTTCAAAGGAATAAAGGGCTCCTTCCCCTCCCCCCCTCTCCCTGCTGCACACATCTGCTGAATCATAAGAGGCCCCACTTCCAAAGTGTCAAGGTCTCTGCCTCCTGCCTGGCTGGGACCACAGTCAGCTCTTGCCTGGACAGGTAGTCGGAGCGGCTCCTTCTGGGGCTCCCTCGCCCCTCACATGCCCTTCCAGTCCTTTCTAATATGACGGTGGGTCCGAACGAGGCCGGGAGGAGTACAGATTTATTTGTCCCACAGGAGACATTTGGCAAGATCTGGGGACATTTTTGATCATTTCAACTCGGGGAAGAGGAGGGTACCGCTGGCAGCTGGTGGGTGGAGGTCAGAGATGCTGCTGACGGCGCAGCAATGCACAGGACAGTCCCCACAGCAAAGAACTGCTGGGCCTCAGGTGTCAGTGGGAAGGCCGAGAAAGCCTGTAATAAAGGCATTCATACCTGGCCTGCAGAGTCTCAGGCTCATGGCCAGGATCTTGGCCTGGCATTTGAGACCCTTCTGATCTCTCCCTTGCTCACCTCTTCCCGTGTCTTCTTCAGCTACCTCAAGCTCTGGCTGCACCAAAAGACTCAGAGTTCGCTGCACCCCACTCCCGTCTGGTCTGGCCTTCGCAGGTGCTGTGACCTCCCTCTGGCACAGTCCCGCTCATGCATCGGGAGCCCTTGAGGCCTTTCCTCCCACTGGCCTGCGCGTGGTTAGGACCTATGTGGGCTCACCTCTGAAGCCCGGGGGCCGGTGCTTACCAAACCCAACTTTTGTTGAGCACTTACTGCGTGCCAGGCACTCAAAACACCCTCTCCCATGCCACATCCTTACTGTCCCCCAGACACGTGTGTGGCTGTCCCCAGCGATGACTGTTGCTATGCCAGAAGTGCTTTACAGTTTGCAAAGTACTTTTTCTCCCGTGGCTCCCTGGATTTGGTCCTCTGTGTTCTTTTTAATGTTAATTTCATTTTACGGGGTTCAAAAATGAAACGACACAAAACCAAAAACCAAAACACAAAAGCATGCTAAGTGAAAGAAGCCAGTCACAAAAGATCGCACGTCGTGTGATTTCACTTACACGAAACGTCCAGAATAGGCACATCCATAGACACAAAGGAGATGAGTGGTTTTGCCCAGAGCTGGGGTTTGGGGGAGATGTGGAGCGAGTACTGAGGGGCACTGGTGTTCGGGGTGAACTTGTGAATATGCTAAAAAACCACTGCATTGTATACTTCAGAAGTGATTGGAAGTGTGTGAATTCTGTTCCAGGTGTTGGGAAAAAGTGACCACGAGGAACCTGGTGTCCAGTGCGGTGTCCTTCACCCTTCCGGGGCTAGGGGTCGGCGTAGCCCTGTAGCCCTCCCGGGTCCTTACTGGTTTCTCACGCAGAATTCTTTGCAGTGTTTTCTTACGTAGATACAACCAAACACAGATAGGGACGATTTCCCCACCTTTCTTTGTTTGTTTGTTTTTAAGCTGGAAAGAGCAGAGAATACATACTATTCTGTACTTTGCTTTTTCACTTCCTGTATCTTTGAGATCTGTTGGCTTGGGCACAGAGAGAGCTTCCTCATTCTTTTTCCATTGTATTCTAGGTTATTGGTGGGCCCTTCTTTCTTTAACCCGTGGCCAGAATGATGGCCATCTGGGCTGTGTCCACGTTTTGTTGTTGGAAACAGCTCACCACGGACAGCCTCGTCCCGGGCCTCTTTTGCACTCGCCAGGGTGTGGAGTGTACTCCCGAAGCGGGAGCGGGGATGCACCTGGGGCACAGTGCCCACCGCCCCACAGCTCTGCCGGGACAGGGCACGCGTCTTACTGTGGCATTGCCACCAGTCAGAGGTGGGAGTGCTTTTTCAGGACCATGTGCATTTCTCTTATAAGGGGGCTGAGCATCTTTTCTTAAGAGTACGCCATTTTTATATGAATGGTTTCCTCTTCTCCAAGTGTGTGTTCAGATTCTTTACACTATTTCCTTTGAGCCTTGAGTCTTTTTCCTACTGATACGTAGGAGCTCGTTAACGTAGTAGGGCCACCAGCTCTTTGCCGCTGCGAAGAGTTACAAGTATGTATTTCTTAGGACTTTGTTGCTGGTATTTTTGCCACAGAAGGGATTCCCTTTCTGGATGGGACAGAGCCCCCCCCCCCTTTTTTTTAATGGCCTTCGGATTTTAAATCAGGGATTAAAAGGCTTGCCTACCCCAAAGTTAGAAGGCAGTTCTCTCTTCTATTCCTCTAACGTCTCATTGTTTTCTTTTTTTTTTTTAACTTTTTAATATTTTTTTTTGTTTTTAAGTAATCTCTACACCCGAAGTGGGGCTTGAACTTACAACCCTGAGATCAAGAGTCACATGCTCCACTGACTGAGCCAGCCAGGCGCCCCTCGATGTTTTCTTTTTATTAAGTGTCGAGTAGGCACAAAGGAATACGTACAACAGATATGCATAGTATTGGGCACCCTTCCCCTCGGGGGAGGACGCGCCTGTCATCTTGCAGGCCCCTGGCGGCCCACTGTATCCCCTCCTCTGCTTTCCCCTCACAGAGCGAACCACTGACAATTGAAATCGTTCCCTCTTGCTAAAGAGTTCTATCACGTTTGTATCCCTAGACCTGACAGTGCTCAGCGCTGCACGTTTTGAACTGTGCCTGCCTTGTTCTGTCTTCCTCTTTTTTCAGTTGAGGTGAAATGCACATAAGAAAATTAACCGTTTTTATTAAATTTTTTTTTTCAACGTTTTTTATTTATTTTTGGGACAGAGAGAGACAGAGCATGAACGGGGGAGGGGCAGAGAGAGAGGGAGACACAGAATCGGAAACAGGCTCCAGGCTCCGAGCCATCAGCCCAGAGCCTGACGCGGGGCTCGAACCCACGGACCGCGAGATCGTGACCTGGCTGAAGTCGGACGCTTAACCGACTGCGCCACCCAGGTGCCCCGAAAATTAACCGTTTTTAAAGTACACAGTTAAGTGGCCGGTGGGAC